GCACGGGGCACACAATCTCACTGTCATTCGGAATCGGAAGCAATTTCGCAGAATCGGACCTTGTGGAAGAAAAACACAACTCACAATACTTCAAGATTGCGTTCAAGGTTTCGCGACGACGTCTCATTCGGTCTGATGAATCGAGTGCGAACGATGATTGGGCGTTCCAGTGAGTCCGCTCGAATATGAGTCATTACTCTCTTGGGTGATGTTCTCGAAGACATCCTAGGATAGCTCTGCACCCCATGTCAGCTGTCCGATCGGGAGAATAATCCTTTTGAGTAGAATCATCCCACTAGGTACATGCTCGTCGGAGCTCTAGTGACATCGAGAGTTTCGAAACTCAATCGTCAGAGTAGGAGATACCTTGCAGAACTCTAAGGCGGGCCACACAACGAGCGAGGATCGTAGGCCCTTCACGGCATGTCTATCTTTCGCCTGAGGGCTGGAAATACGCCCATTACCCATCCAAGTGCTAAGTCCGTCCCAGCCATTCGATGACCACGAAAATCGAATTAGAACTCCGGGGAACGGCTTTGCTCAACAAGGTTTTCGTGGCCGTGTCGTGATTCAAAGTGTAAACCGGTCGCTTGAAACTCTGGTCGATTCTCCCGGCTCGTTTCATTGTGCCTCCCCATTGGTTCACCAGCGGTGAGCAGCCGTCAGAGCGGCGGAGCGAGGGGCTGGTAGTTTCGCATTTGGCAGTTCCTCCTCAAAATCAGCTGCGGCGTCTCAGCTGTTCAAATCAAATCGCGCAGACCCGCGGAATCGAACTGAGCTCTCAGACACACTGAGAACCAAATAAAGGACCGTCGCTGTCGATAAATCGGACTCCCGAAGACACGGGGGCTCGCCGATCGTCGGCCGGGCAGTTCGAGGTATACTTCACCTGATGGAACCCAATACGACTAGATTCGATTGGGGACGTGCTTTAATTCACGTCCCGATGTGACCCGAGAACGCTTCTCTGGCGCAGCTTTCTGGTGGTGACGACGGCGACCGTTGGCAAGCCGTTGCCGCACGGGCTGTCTCTGCCCGACTAACCGTCTGTCTGACTCTTACCGAATGTCGACTAGATGGCGAATCAGTTCCCACCTTTTGCGCTTCAACCGGAATTTCAAAGTTCCAAACTGTGTAACTCCGGAGATATCGAGGGAAAATCGGAGTTTCCTAGAGCCAGTGCAGCATTCGATTCAGCACAGAAAAATATGAATTCCCTCCTCATGATATTTCGTACTACGAACTCCGAAAATTTTACGTCGTTGAAAAAAAAAATTGCGTCGCTGCCGTTCGGACTCGGGTGTACTTTTCCCTGTCGATTCGATAAGGTAATTATCATTATCATTCGAAGCTGCCGCCACGCGAACGACCAGTCTTCACAGGGTGGCCCCGGTGTAAGAGAATCGGGCAGTCTTTTCAAGGAAAAATATCGCTCTTGTCTCGTATTCTAGCAACTCGATGAGTCCTTGTTTTGCTCGTCTATCTCAACATCAGATTCAGTCCTCCTTCCCCTCAGAGGAGTTCCGTGTGAAAATACTGTCACAGCTGCTAAAGCGCGGAGCTTCGGTCTAGAAACGCTACCGTTGCTCCCTGATTCCCGTGCGCCGTATCTCTATTGATTTGGCTCGAACGGACAATCCAGTGATTTTCATGATGACCAATCGTATTCCAACGCTCGATAAACGATAAGGCTCGAAGAGAGAGCAAACTATGCTACTCACTTTCCCAGGATTTTTCCAACTGAGATGGGCTCACGGAAAAGTTTTACAAAAGCCAGATTGCGACCTCAGGGAACGCGAGTAAAACAGAGGTTCGGCAAGAAATCCTACCGGGAAGTTCTACGCCCCATGAGTCACCTCGAATATCGAGATTCCAGATCTATCTAGCACTCACCCTTTCTTTAGCTCTTCCTGCATGTTTCTGAAGAACCTGGGTGAGTGTTTTGTTGGGGTTTTCGGTATTCGCTGTCATCGTCGCCATTGCGTCGACTCCAAACTTATCAGCGATTTTCGCTGATCAAGTTTATGGTGATTCTTATCCTCGGGCGTTGTGAGAACGAACTTGGCGGTCAACGAGGTTGACTGACTGAGAGCGTGGTCAGACGGTTCACGCTGGTCTTGGTCTGACAGTCACTCAACAATTTTATTCCAATGGGATATCGAAGACCACGACAACGATGACGACGGCAACAACAACAATAACAATAAAAACTGAGACAGCGGCGGCGTGAACGGCTTAAGCGACGGCGACGGTGGGAAAAGGGAACAGATCGTCGTAGGCTGGTAACGGAGTATTCCTTGTAGCTTCCCCCGGTATCACTAGCAGTGCGACATCGCCGCCGATGCCGTTGTCGAGGATGTCTTCGATGAAAAAAAAGAACACACTAGCTTCCTTTGTCGGCAGCAGTGGCAACACGCAATCACACTCCACCGCCCCTGTTCGACACTGTCGCGACTCACTGACTGACTAAACTTGCGGCGGTCGCAGCAGCGGCATCGATCGGGAAGCAGCAGCTGAGAGGAGGCAAGAAAGCGGCGGCGGCGGCGCACCGGGAGACTACGACGACGACGGCAGCAGCCGCGGCGACGAGCGAAAAACGATGAGGGTGAACGTAGAAAATGGAAATCAAACGGTTTTATTGGAGGGTCTGATGACGAACTCACACACGAATCAGCGAGGATTCGCCCGACCTAAAGAATAGTAAAAGCGACTCCAATTCACGGGATGGAAATCGACGAAATTAGAATTCGTCGACGGGAGAGCATGGAGAAACTGATGTCGATGATTTTGCTGATATTCTGAGCTAGGCCGGGCGGTCCTCGATCGGCGAACTCGACCACAGCTCTGCCTTTATCGGGGTCCCCTTTTCCGATCGTTGGGGGCTACCTGAGCAATGCTCACAACGAAATGAGGTTAACGGGGGCAAGAGTAGTCTGCTAGCCTACGCAAGAGTACAGCATGACGAGCCGCAAGCCTGCGAAACTAGGCGATTCCATAGCGGGGATTCTCATCTCTGAGTGAGTAGTTCACTCCTCTGGGTACTCCTTCGTTCAATTCCTCCGTGGGGTTGCCAGGACCTGGAGTATTTCAATCATGTGGATCTGCGGTCGCAATTCTGAGATGCCGGTCGGGGGTCGGGGCAGGCCCGGGTCAGAGGCGCGAGATCTTACCCGGCAACCGGCGCTCTCGGTCCTCGTAATGCCGGATCCTCATCAGAGCATGGCTGCCGCGCACGAAACGATCTGTTATGGAAGCCCTCGCACGGATTGAATCGATTACGGGAAGTGAGTCCAGCGAAGTGGTTTGGGTTGATGGCTCAGCGGGTCGTCGCTTATCATTCCGAGGATAGTGACAGCCTTGGAGCCACCTTGGACAAACGAACGAGTTGTTCGATGCCCACAGAACATTATTTTCATATGTGACGCCGCACCACGTTAAGAGTCCGTATTCCTGGTTTTCGGCACTTGAGTACCCGTAACGCCGTATTCTCCCGCGCTCACCAATAAAGCGACCTGTCGCGATGATTCTGTCGATCCTTCAGGACAGTTAACTCCCTCGATTGTTTTCCACACCGTAGTTTTCACTCCGAAAAGAGGCGCCGCTCAAGAAAGAGATGAAGGTCCCTTCGAGAATCGCTGAGGGGTCTTTGCTGGGTTGCTGCGAACATTTCAATCCGATACGGGGATCTAGAATGATACTACAGTGAGCCCTCGTTTTTCGCGGTCAATCGGTCCCGAGGCCTTCCGCGAAAATCGAATTTCCGCGAACTTCAACTCCCTTTTTTGGCCTAATTTTTGATGAAATCCCGCCGATTCCTCCCGACACTTCCATCAAACTCTCACAACATCCGCCAAGAGCCGTTGATCGCAATGACCGGGAGGATATTATTGATATCCATATGAGTGTGTGTTCATATGTACTAGAACGAGATCCGCGAATTATCAAGACCGCGGAAATCAAACTTCGAATAGTCGAGGGCTTACTGTATATAGAATAATATAGAATGAGCTCCAGGACCTGATTTTACGGGATTGAATTCGCCGACTGAAATTCGTCTACGGAATCGATTCCTCTCCGATGGAGCGGATGTCAGAGTGACTCTTGGGATGACTAGGGCTGGGGAGTTGACTCTCGGGAGAGCGGAATGGAGATGAAGAGCTCTTCAAGCTTGATCGCTGGAGCTCTCTGACGTAGATCTCTCCCGCCTCGACGATTGAAGACAGCCGAATCATTTTCCCGACTCGAGCCTCATTTCGAAACATATGATATGATCACCTCAGGGGCATTCTCCTACCCAAGGAGCGCTTCACCCACGCTACGGGTATGAGCCCATCGGGACGCCTCCAAGCGAGACTATTATATTTATATTGGGATCTATGAGGAGGACTGCCTCAGACTATTGCAGGAACGGAATCGAGGAGAATGGTCCCCAGACCCAGGCGACGGTGTGGAGCCCCTTCACGGTAGCGCGAGCGCGTGTTCGCGGAGCTATGCCCAGAGGTGGATCATGCGCCCCTCTTCTCGCGAAGGCGTGAAGCCGCGATGCCGCGATAAGTCGTTGGTCGCTGAAATCTGAGCATTCTGTTCGGCACGTGTCGATGCTTGATAGATCAAGAGATGTTTGTGTTGGGGACTCATTTTGATTCACACTTTGAAGAGGAATTTTCGCAGGGGTCTCTCATTCAAGATCCTTTTAGATCACAAGACGTCTTTCCGCTGAATTTCGAATCCGCAGAATTCGTCTTCCCCGCAGGATTTCGTGCCGGGTAAGGGCCCGTCGGGATCTTGGTCGGCTGAGTGAGGAGTTGCGAAAAGGGTCCGCCACCATACCCTGACATTACGGACGAGCCAGGGAAGCAAATTCCGTCCGCCATGGAACCGGACGAACAGGCTCCGAGCGCAATTGATGCTCATCGATACGTCTTAATGTCGATTGGCGCAACCACGGGCATCGAGCAAGTCGCGGACGTTGAGTAATTTACTCTCCGAAATTCCGTGTAATGTCCGAGTCATTCTCGCTGGCAAAGCGCAACCTCGGCGAACAATTCTCCACATACTTCAACTTCCCAGCCGGTAAATATTAAGACGAGCGCGCACCTGTCTGGAAGGGATGCTCTGAGTTCTGCTCGGGAGAATCAGGCGGAGATATCGCTCTGTCCCCATCCCTTTACGACAACACTTTCGTTCTCGATTGTCTTCCTCAATTGAATGGCCTGGGTAGGTCGAGTTCTTTAAGAGAACAATCGCTACCTGATCATCTGACTCGCTCTTTCTCCAATAAAGTTTCATCCCGGTGCCTGCACGAACGCTTTGTCACGACAATAATACGACGTCAGCTCACCCATATCGTCTAGGATGGTAAGGAGCGCGAGCCGCTGAGCGGGCAATATCTTCTTCAGTATAGTCTCCGTTTCTGAAGAGAAAAACTCCAGAACTGTGGACCGGGCTGCGATTCGGCCGTAACCGACCGTACACTGTAGCTTGCGAAATGCGGCTATACTGGTGGGGAGGTACCCACAAGCTTCATGCCTTCTGCCTAATGACGAGGATAGAGAGGGTCGAGACCTCATCGAAGCTCGGGAACGGGCTTCCACGATCCTCGCGAAATACGAAAGTTCTCGAAATTGACCGGTCATCGATCATTCCTGACCGCGCTCGGAGATTCGCATTCCTGTCGCAACAAAGAGTTCGCATAGAGCGTTCAGCGATCGCCGAAGTCGACCAAGTCGCCAGAGACCAATCGTCGGGACTTGAATGGGATCAGTTTCATCATACGAGTCTTCAGAAGGAGAGAAAGTCTGATTCACGCTACTGAAATCAGAATGATGAGTGGACGCCAAGTGGAAAGAGTTCCTGAAAGACCGCCTCCCAACAGCTGCTAGAATAACTTCGAAAATTGGAACCGATCCACGGCGGAAAACGGCCTCGCGTTTCGACCTTATTCTGCTGAAAGCTCGGCTCTCCAGTGCGTCGAGCGACTCGAAGAGAGAGAAATCGTCGAACCCCTGAGTCGCGTGCCTTGCTAGAAAAGCTGGGTCATGGAGCCCAGGTCGAGCTAGTGTTCAAGTCGCGTGGGAAGCGTCCTTCTTCTGTTCCATTGATTCAAGCCATATTCTGCAAGGTTATCAACCAAGCTGATCGTACACAGTGAGTATATTTCTATGTTGTCGTCGTCGGCTTTATTACGAAGTTTCGGCGCTGAGAAGACGAAGAAACTTTCCGAAACCGTGGCATCAATCCGATTGTGAGTCGATGCCCAGAAGGCAGCGTTCTACTGCCTGCTGGGCAAGCTGACGGCGATAACTGAGTTCAGAGAGCCGCGGTTCTCGGAGTTATCGTTACGGAGGTAAATAGTTTTAGCGCCTAAGATTTCCATAAAGAGCTATCTTTCGTCAGCCAGAGGATCCGGAGAATTTTTATGAGAGAGCCGGGAAATCATCTCGGAAGTCTGGAGATACGTTCTCTCGGATACGTCGACGAATACAGATAACTCCGAGGGGTCTTTATTCCTTGAGAAAGCGCTTGACTAGAATGCGAATTAATCATTCCGAAGGCCGTGAGCAACCGCAATGCGTGACTCTTAATTCTGAAGCTTGGACTCGAACTATGAACATTCCCACTCTCCCGTATTTGACTATCACACCCGTTTGATCTTGTCAACATCTCCGTGAGTTACTATTTTTTTCGGAAAAAGGAAGTTCCCGACCATCAGCTTAAATGAGTTTCCTCCCTTACAGAGAAGGTGATTCTCGACTCCGCGGAGAGCACCGTCAGAATGAACGTCTCCGAAAATCATTTCGACATGCTCGCATGCGACTTCTGTAAGAAGAGGCGGATACAGGTAAGACCTATTCTTCTTGTTTCGAGGCTCGTATCCGAATTATTTTCTCGCATGAGCCCGTAGTGATTTCCGACAGAAATAGCGTAGAATGACCGGAGAGCCTGGGTCCACTGGATGACTAAACAGTGCGGGGGACTTTGAATTCGAGCTCAGCTCTTCCTCTCTGCTCCATAATCCCGGTCGAAAGCGTAATTACGTGATCTTTCATTCGTCTGCCTCCCAGAGCCCCCGATGATATCAATCTACCGGAGAATCGAATCATGTCGTCTGTAAGAAATCGCATCTATTGAAAAGAATGCACCCGGCTGAAAATTTCAATGATTCCAGGTGGGAGTGCTGACATGCCAACATCGTATGTGCGCGGACTGTTACCCTCATTACCGCAGTAGACTCGATAGATGTTCCATCTGCATCCTGATGGCCGCCGAAGTGAAGCGGGAGGCTATGAAAATCGTACCTGAAACCATTCAATTAGACCTTTTGGATGAGTCACAGAAGAAACAGAGTATCTTCTGCTCCAACCGTCTTTGCCCTTTGATTCGTAAGGGAGCTCTTCCATGAGTTATAGCTCGCGAGTAGCCTTGACGATAATTATTCTCAAAGCGCCTTCGGAACTTTCTGATCTGAAATTCTTATCCCTACAGGTACCCCAAAAGAATCTATGGACAGGCACTGGGAAGTTTGCGGCCTTGTGGAACGCAGACTCACTCGGCCGAGTCCGACTTCGGCATCGCACAGTGTCGCGGAATTCGAGGATATCGCCCCACCGTCAGAAGAGATTCGCCATGCGATCGCTTCAATTATGGAAAATTCGCATAAGAAGCAAGACGGACTTGGATCCCGTAACTTGGAGCATTCGTGCCCCACATCGGACTATAGCTCAAAACCCTCAGACTCGGATAAACCCTCCTTACCACCGAAATTTAGCGTGGAGATCTCCGAATATGTGGATCTGAGCCATGACATCGATGTGAGGAACGGCGATGCTCCGCATGGCACAACCCCGCAGACAGTGACTTCCGCGGACGACTCGTCCAGTCCTATCGGAGCGCAAGGCTGGGATTTCTGCGGAGACAGCACCGACCGCAGGAACCCGTCGAAGCGCGCTGTTAACGAATCAAAACAAGATCCAAAACCGAACCCCGACCAACCTCGCAACGGAAGCGTACAGGCAGGAAGCGAGCAGTCACGGGGAGGGGTCGCATCTCCGGAAGAAAGCTACGGAGCCGCACTACGACTCGAGCTCGCGTGTTTGTATTCGCGAGTGGTCCGATTTTCTAACAGAGCTGTGATGAATATTACGTGGTACAATGCTTCCGTCGTTTTGGTCTGGTTGATCGCCGTGACGTATTCCCTGTAAGTGAACTTACATGGGAGACCTGGGGAAATGAATTCTCATTTCGAGCCAGATCGTCGGGAGGGGATTTTCTGAGATACTGGAGACCAACCCGTGATTTGTTCGCAGGAGTTTCGAGAGAAATGAGGTACCACTTGTCCAGGCGACTCCTAACTATGTGACCTGGGAAATGAACAGGCTTTCGGATCTCATGGCAAGAGCTCAGTTCAACAAGAGAGACATGCAGCTCTCAGAAGCTTTCGACGTGGGGGATTATAAGGTGAGATTCGTCGAGCTGCGAGCGAGGCTTCTCATGGATTGAGAGGGCGATATCGGCATCCACTCTCATGGCCCGAGCCTCTCTCTCTGTCTCTCTGGTATGAAACTTCGACATCAAGCTGATAGCTCTTTCCCGTTGACTCAGGCACGATTGGGAGTCGGATCAACATTTTCTGTGGCGGATAGTGTCGCAGTCATTTGGGTCACTGCCGTAATAATCAAAAGCAATGACCTACCATGGCCGCCGAACGAACGGATGCAACTTCGTCTCGAGAACAAGAACCCGGACCTGGCGCAAACTTACGACTTCACCCCCCAGCAACGCGGCAATTGGAGAGAGAATATGCGGGTTCAGAGGTGAGCATTCAATCGGCTCACGATAAAATCGCGTATTGATACCGGGCATAAATGGTTTCGAGAGTCGCGGAGATCATGCAATTGACAGCTCCATCGAAGAAGGGGTGCAACCAGTTGAATAAGTTGAATCTCATTCTCGCAGGGGCCAACTGATTTATCGCCAGCTGCAAGTGGACACCACAGATCGCCTAAAGTATTTGAGGTTTTCGTACTACATGACCTACGACGACGGTGCAACGAAGGGCTACATCGAGGATGACACAATCGTCGTGGGTTTGAAAATCGTCAAGGATAAATTGCTCCAAGTCTAGCTTGTGGATCCTCTTGTCAGGGAGTCGATCTCCTCGTGAGAATAATCGGTGCGAGAGACAGTGGCCGAGAAGGAGGCAGAGAGCTCTACTGAATACGATTGCGATACTCGGTAAACGTCGCCGATGGAAAGAGACGTATCTATCTATGCCTTCCTATAAGATTGACGTGTCGTTTCCACACCTCATTCGAATTCAGCGCTTCATGATCTACTTGTCGGAACGATACCTCGATCGCAGACTATATTTCTCCGAGGAGGAGGCTTCCTCAAATCGTCTCAGCACACTGAGGCATATGGAGGCGCCAGGGATCCGCCTCCAAAATCCCAACGTGCGAACCCAGGGTTCACTCATGCGAAAGCACACGAGTTCCTCCCGCGCGGACTCCCGGTAGTTGAATCGACAATCGCGAGCGAGCGGGAACACCATCTTGTTTGGTTTCTTATTCAAATCCTGGTTTTGAATCTTGTGATCAAGCTCCACTTTTTACTCCAACAGAAGACAGGTGGAAATACTGCAGCCCACGTGTTCGTCTACTACTAGTGACATGTTTACAATCAAATCATGTGTATCATGAATGATCAAAAGCACCGTGTTCCACGCACTATCTTAGCAGATAGCTTCACAATGATGATGACAGGCGAGAATCACGCTCTTTCGTTAAAGATTTACCCTACCTGCTCCCTCTACATTGTAGCCAAACATTTCACAGGCTGATGAAAAAAATAAATTCCTACTATATCCTTTGAATCGCTCTGGTCAATTCATTGCCGGCGAGGCAACAACATCAGTCATCGACGTATGATGATCGAGGTTGCACAGAAGATACTCCATCCAGAAGATAAATTTTTAATTTATTTTCTCCAGCTCCATAGATTCTTCATCCAGCTCGTGATCTTACAATCAGATCTTCCTTGAGTTTTGAGGTCGTCGTTGTATCAAGAAATGGCGATTCAAAAGTCTTTGAGACTCAGCGGCGTCGATAGAGAGTTTATGAACGGTGGGAGTAGGAGCTCTCAATCATCAACTTTCAGAATCGAGATGAAGTCATAGATAGCGTTTCTTGGAATGCATAAGATGAAACAGTGATAGATCGGACATGAAATCGTAAATTTGAGCCGCAGAAATCACTGCGGGGAATAACAAGAGCGACCTAGAGATTCTAACATCGTGTTGAGGTGAGCTGGTGGGAAAAAGGTCTCCAGAAATTTCTGAGAAAGATCTCCCTCAGAGGTTTCCCTCGACGCGAAACACGCCATTGAACTGCTTCACTAATCAGATCGAAGTCCTGTACAGGTCCGCCCGCGTTGGCACCAATAAATAAGAGGTTTTCCCTTCCACGGAAAACCGACGTAGACTGAGTTTAATGTACACTTGGTATTTACAACCCTCCGCCGGTTGTCATCTGGATCCGGACCCGGATGGCGGACTCAGAAATTAACTTAAATCATGTGTGTCTAGCCTCGTTCATTCTGTTCGTGTACCGGTGTGTGTTCGTGTTTCTGTAGCTTTGTATTCAACTTGTATTTAAGTGCAAGCGGCCAAACTGTGATGATGCTCTTGGAACGTTTCTCTCCTTCAAGTCGTTTCCCGCTGTAGCTGCTCAAGTTTTCCCAACATCCACAAGAACGTCGGTCGTTCATCGTGCTCTTTGTGCCACGCTTTCTGCATGAGCGAATAGATTTCCGGGGGACAGCCCTCCGGCGCCTCCATGCGATACCCTGGAAGAACGATCAGACCATCAGACGATCTCCTATTTATCATTTTCAATTTCCGCGCAAGTGCATCCTTATGGAGGATATGGGAACGTTCGGAATCTCTCACCTTTGTCAACGTGACGAACGACTTCTGCCAGGGGGATTCTAGGGTAAGGTACTCGACCGAATGAATAAATTTCCCACAACAAAATGCCGAATGACCACATATCCGTCTTGTTTGAGAATAAGCTCGTCTTCAGCGCCTCGGGTGCTGTCCACTTGATCGGGAACTTTCCAACTGTAATCAAAAAAGAGGAGATGAAGGTCAAAGCTCGACTAGGGACCCAATCTCAGCGGTTCTGGGTGCTTTTCCTTTCAATTTCCGTAATTTAGGCCAATTCAGAAAAGTCAAGGGGTTTCCCCGCGTGCGAAAGTCCCCGACCGATCCATTGACCGATTGACTTACTTACCGTCGGGATTATCGGCGTCTTGGGTTTTCGCCAAACCAAAATCACTAACTTTGGCGACACCGTCATCCGATATGAGCACATTCCTGGCCGCTAGATCTCTATGTACGACATGCCGACTTTCGAGATAAGCCATGCCGGCACAGGTATCTCGAGCGAAATTGATTTGATCTTTCCGCGTCACGTGGAGTCGGCCGCGCGATCTGAGGTAATCCACCAACGAACCCTTCGCCATGTATTCAGTGACGATTTGAACTAGACCGTCTTCCATCACCAAACCCAAAAGCTGCACGAGGTTCCGATGTCGAAGCGATGTCATCATCTGCGCTTCGAGCACGAGCGGATTCGCTTGAACAAGGGAGTTCTTCTCACGTTCCGGAGACTCGACGGTCTTCACCGCAACCTTATTGCCTTTGTACATACCCAGCTGCACATCACCGAATTCACCTTTGCCTGGAAAGAACGGTACGGTCACTCGCTCGTCATCTCTTGTCTTTACTTCTCCATACGGGTCTCTAATATCCACGAGAAATGAGAAGCCTAATTTTTTTGCTCACCGATGCTCTCTATAATGCATATGTCCTGAGACTTGATGAGCCATCCAGTCATTTCGAAAGCTCGTTTGTCCGCCGTGCCGTTGCAATGCACTCCTTTCTTGGGCAGGGCATGGGTCAATCTGGTACACAAACCATCGGCGTCCATTTCATAGTGTTCAACCAGTTGAGATAACGTCTCGAAGTACTCTTCCTCGTCGATCGTCAGACCCAACTGATCTTGGGTGATTACTCTGCGGAGAAGACGGAAAGGATGCTGAGGCGCAATCGTAGAAATCAAAGCCGACATCTCATGGATCACAGCACGTCACGTGAAGCATCATTATTATTATCGAGTAGGAACAAATTTGGAAAATTCTTCCTGACTGCGAAATGTTCGAGAAATTCTTCCAGGTCCTATGTCATCCCTTATGATATACGGGGACAATACCTGTAGTGTTCGACCTTGCTTTTACAACAAACGCAAAGCGTGTAGTCTCCAGGGTAATTGGTGCTCTCACGAACGAGGAAAGCTCCATCGCTGGGATTGGCTAAAAGGAGTCTCTCGGCTTCTTCGCGACAGATCTTCCCGTGGAACCATAACATCAATCCGGCTTTCCCATCTCCACGTTTCATGAGGTAGTTCAAGGGGACGAGACCTTCCCGTCCGTCAGCATGTTTCGCCTTGAACCAATTCGGGTCCTGTGGATGAAGAATATTCATTTTTGTTTTCTCGATGGATTGAGACATTTGTCGGCGGCCCAGTCCGTCTAGGGACCAGGGCTTCGGAGGCTCAGGTTTTCGGACTAAGAGGTCGAGGGCTCCCTCAGTTCTATTAGCGAGCGGGATCTGAAATCGATCCGGCGGACCTAAGGAGTTGGCGTGCTCCCATCGCTTGGATGCGTCGCAGGTGAAGGAGAGTCGAGCTCGCACGACTACATCCGGTGAGACAATTCCTCCGACGGAAAAAATATATCTTCAAGTTCCTGACGCATCCACAACTAGAACACTGTCCAGAGCTCACGTCTTAGAATCGATTCCACTTACGGCTTCACGCGCTTGTTTCACCGCATAATTACGCTTCACACGGAAATCGAGCCTATGCTGCGACGCCCGGAAATCCGAGCGCGAGCGAGATTCTGGCAACATTTTGAACGTCAGGACGACTCTGGTGAGCGGCCCATTGCACAGACGATCAAGACTTTGGGTTTCTCTCGAGTCTATCTACCGAAATTGTTGTCTGAGTATAGGATATGATAGCCTCCGCCGGAGCGCTCGAGAAGGAGCGTGAGTGGGCGAGGGAACGCCAGTCAGCTGGACTGGCGCGATATTAGCCTGATTCGGAGAGTAGCTGATTCACCCGCAACGGCAGACAGACAGAGCGAGGGAAAACTTCCAAGGGATTACCATGGCCAAACAGCCGCAGCGATGCTATCGACGAAGAATAACATGGAGACCTCTAATAATATTCGGCTGCACTACCCAGCCGAACTATGAAGCCCCGAATATCGCGGAATCGGCATTTCTTCCGAATCCCGGGAGCAAATGCTGCCGCGTGTATCAGGCAGGAGACCTGCTCTCCCGAACAGACAGCCCGTTGGGGATAACTCGGGAGAAAGTCCGGCCGGCAGTCGGGATCGAACCCTCACCACCTCCCGCGCGGGCGACGTCATTTCACGGAGTGGAAGCGGCTTCCCACGAACAGACTCCACAGCGTTGGACCCGTGAAGAGATTGTTTCCTCGAGAAGTCACAGACGCGCTAACCTTGTCGACCAGCGGACGGTCAACACGGATACCTCTGGCGAGGGGAGAGTGAACTGGAATGACGTAGTTTTCGTCGCGAGGTTTTTGTAAACACTGTCACCGCAGTCAATAAAATGATGGTTGAATCTCGTCACCGTCGGAAGCTTCAGTCAGTAGCGCTCTATAACAACATTCGGAGAGAACGAAACAAGCTTCGCGAGTAAACTCTGAGCTGCGATCGAATGGAAAGTTCGGCCGATCAAATAAGAGCTAGCCTGTGATATCAAAGTAGTAATGGTCCGCGCAGAGTTCAACTGATGGATGCGCGACTCCGAACGACGAGAGGACCGGAGGCGAAGCCAAGGTCACCGCTCTCACGCGTCCCTGAATGAATCGTTCATGGAGACTCCTGAAGAATATTCAATGGGAAAGTTTCGGGGAAAATCGGGGTTCGACAGAGGTTTCCCCCAAAAACAGCGGTAATTTTGTAATTTCTCGCGTCCGATCTCAGAAGATGAGGATTGTACAAGGGAGGGGATGCTCCATACCGCAGGGCAAGACTCCGCTGATCTAGAAAATCGTTAGCATTGCACACTCCGATGGAAAGTTTCACCGCAGCTAGAAATTGACGCGTAGGCTGATAGACGGCCGCGGCTGTCCCGCCGCGCCGGTATGCACGTGACATTGAGACGCTTCGGCTGAGACTTTCGATATGGCCATCACAGCGGACAACACCTTGACTTATTCAGATCACGATCAAATCCTGACAAGATTTTCAGTTTTTCGGATCTTGGAACGTTTTTCGATTGATGGATCATTGTAAATATATAGACTTCCTTCGAACTCTCGGAAAGACTCTCTGGAAACTTACCGGCGTCGCTGACATGATGGTCAAGACATCTCCTTTAGAGAAGGTGAGGTCCTCCTCGGAGTTGGCCTTGAAGTTATAACGAGCGATCACCTCGGTACCCGGGCCCCACTGAAAATCGACGGAATAAACTGAGCACACGAGCTCCAAGCGGAATCTCAATCACCCGGCGAGTGTTCGACAGATGTCAAAAAGGAAAAGTTAAAAGCTCCGAACTCGAGGAAAAAAAATGAACGGAATCAAATCAGGCAACGAGGATCGGCTATCCGATTTCGTAGTAATGACGGAATCTCGAGCCGTGACGATTCGACGTTCACAGGGATAATGAATGTAGTGCACGATGATTAATATCACGTAATTACCAGCAATAGCTAGAGCAATTACAAAGTACGGGGTATTCGTGGTCTGAGCAGCTGAGCCGATGGTCACGAAGGCAAAAATAGCGGCTCAGCTTCTCGACTTCAATGGTTGCACCGTTTGACAAAAACGAAATCGACGCCCTACGGTCGCTCAAAACGAGACTCATCTGCTAACGGGAGATCAGAACTAGATGCAACGCAAAAATTCCAAGAGTGGTCCTGACAGCTGCACCTCAAACTTGTCAGACACTGTCGACGTCGTTTGCGGGCAACGCCATCAACGAGAGTCTGCTCTGTGCCAAAAGCGGCGCAGAGAAGTCTCCTCCACCCGTCAACTGACTCGAATCAGAGAACCATCAGACGACACCAGACTAGTTTCAGTGAACTTTCCTCCTGAGGCTCGGAGTCAAGGAACACTGTTTATGGTGTTGCTGGGTGAGGAGCAAATGTGACGGAGGATGCAATCGAATTTCTCTGCATCTTCTGCCGATACAGAGGTTCCGAATATCGCATACCGAGATCCGTGATTGGATGCAATTCGAACCACTACGCAAACGCTTCTACACCGAGCGTTCCGAACATCGCGGTATGCAAGATAAACATACTGTCGCCTTATGTGGCCAACATGATGTCTCGGAAAATGTCAGATTCCATTTATAGCATCGTGGCGGACCACCTGCGTTGATTCTTTTGAGGAGCACCGCGCAAGTGAAGTTTTCTCAAGTCTCGCTCACCTTGACGCTCGTCTCCATTCTGGGCACGATCTAGAACTCCTCTATTGCAACATTCTATTTGTTTGAGATCTCTCTACAATCTCACACTCGAGCAGCCCCAGTTAGTAAACACACGCCATCTTCATATGGGCTCCTCGCGGATATTGGGAGAAGCTTCGGTCATACAGCGCTGGAGGTTCGCTCGCCGATGATTAAACGGCCGACATAGCGGCCGGCGGGCTGAGTTCCATTGCGATCGTTTTCGACGGCTCGCTCTCGATGAATTCCGGAGCTCTCATCCCCTTGGGACCCAGCACTCCGATGCGGGATCAAGAATTTCAGAATCTGCGGGAACCGAAAGCTTCTATGCCCGCCTCTCTCTTGAGCACTGTCGGCGGCCAGTGGGACACGAAAGAAAGTTTAGCGCGTGTTCGAAACTTCACCCTATTCTGAAGAGCTCTTTGTGCAATCACGGACCCCTTGTGTGTAGTTTCTGGCGGCTGCGGAGCTGGTCAAAGTTTCCGGATGATTCTTATCCGTCAAGAACTGGTCGGATATAGAAGTTCTCAGCAGCTTTCGTTCCGATCAAAGTATTGGCTGATGTGATTTCAGTCCGCAGCTAGGTTTTCTTCAAGCATCGAGCGGTCGGACAGCTGTGGGATCAAGAAAGCTTCTCATCCCCTTCACTCTTATACCATGTCGACGTGCACTGGTATCGTTGCGGTCCCAGGGGACCGTGTAGAGGTCAACGAAAAAAATTCGCCCGTCGTCCTGGGACCCGGTCTTCTGCAGGATAATGATAATCGAGTCGTGGCTCTCAGAGCCGGAATATTACATTTTAAGAGTCCTAGAACCTACTGGCTCGAGAGCCACATCAAGAAATACTGGCCGGCGAGAGGTAATTTTTCTGATTTCGGGAGATTGTTGAGAAACTATCTCCCGCGAGTGCTTCCGAACCCGATCGTGCACAAGCATTCATGTGTGAGGGAATGTTCCTCCGATCTTGAATCTGATCCGATAATTTATATTGCGACGCTTTCGATGAGGCATGAAGTGGTCGGAGATTTCGTACGGTACGAGCGCGAGACCCTCTCGTGGTCTCGACTCTCGGGGGGTCATCAGAGGAATTCTCACCATCCTGACTCTGATTCTTTCGTATAGGCGATTGCGTGATTGGCTGCATACTACAGAAGGCAGGAGAGAATTACCGAGTCAACATATGGGGACCAGAACCGGCGACTCTATCTCCGTTCTCATTCGAGGGGGCCACTAAGCGGAACAAACCGAACCTGAAGCCGGGAAACCTCATTTATTGCCAGGTGAGGGAGAACTCATGCCCTCGAGCGGGGAACTGCTCCCCTCTGACGAAGAAGATTGTCTCCCTACGCGCCGGATGGACTCCCCGATGGGAAGCTCTGGGCCCAGCGAAAACGCGCCCTCTCCCAGACACTTGAATCGTATGTCCTGAGACCGGGACCGTATCAATCGTCGTTTTTTATGAATAAACATGCGTCTTCTCATTCATTGCAGGTATTAGCAGCGCACAAAGCTATGGAACCAGAAGTTGTTTGCATCAATTCCTATGGGCGAAAAGGGGCTTTTGGGGTTCTCGAATCAGACACTTCGAATTTGATAACGTTGCCTCTCGAGGTCATACACCTTCTGCTATCGAAGAATTGTCCATTGTTGACTACTTTGGGACGCAAGCTCCAGTACGAAGTGGCTATTGGTCAGAACGGAAAGGTGAGAATCCCTTGCCTCACTTCTGAGGAGGATTCCCCTCCCATGCGCGTTCACAATACTCATGATAGGTTCTCTATGAAGTATTTTCTCTCTTCCTTGAAGGTCTGGGTTAATGGAAACTCCGTGAAGAATACCTTGGCGATCTGTTCGGCTCTCAAGGCGTGCTGTAAGCTAAGTATTGAGCAGATTCGTGAAATGTGCCAGAGGATCGCCGGAACCTCGTGAGCTAAGAATGAGCGATCGCATTATCGAAACTCGCTGGTTATATCGTGTAAATAAACAAATCATCCGTTTCTTCGAATGTTCAGCTGATTATGTAGTTTCGTAGAGCGGGCCCATGTGTGGGTGTCTGGGTCGCTGAGAGTTTGTCTCGTATGCTCAGAGGGATCGCACACCTGGTAGCGTTCAGAGAGGCCCGAGGCATCGCTCTGAGGCTTCCAGTTGCTCAATTGCCCTTAAATATTTCTTGTTTTCCGTAGAAAAAGATCGGCAAGAGTCTGTCATCTTATATTCTATGACGAACGACTAAATCGTTTCGTTTTCCATCACCCGAGGGTTTCCCCGTCGGGCTCGTAGCAGAGCCTATATTTCAATTTATTCAATTTATTCATTCATTTTCCGGGAATTTCCTCCATATTCTGTTCAGTGCCCCCCCCCCCCCCTGTCGTGAATGAACGAAATAGACTTGAGTCCCGAAGAGGAGGGTGACAGATTAAAAGTAGCGACGGACAACCTTCCGTGGCCCGCGAAAAATATTTCGCTCTCGACGGCCCTGGGAATCTTAACCGATGGTCCGGGAATCCTCACTGGATTCGCGAGGTGCTCGTCTGAATGTTTCCTCGGTAGGATTCATCATCACGGCGAAAATGAAATAGCTGAATTGGGTGCTTAATTCAATAATTGTTAGGGGCCGCGCTGTCTAAAGGCTTCGGGGTCCGATGTCTCAAGGCAGGGGAGGGGTCCGGGAGGCGCGTCATCGTTCCGATTTCTCAGCCTCTCGATTCGCTCGAGTAATTCGCGAGTAATAGTCATATCTGCTGGCCCAGACTCCTCAACCAAGTGACTCGTAGTCGAAGGATGCCCGCTATTCCCAGGCGTTCCACAACGCTATTCAATATACTCCCTAGATGATCTTCTTCGAGATGGATTCGCGTTTTCCATGTCATCATCACGGGCTCCCCGTTGTCACCGTCCAGTATCCGAGACCTAGTTCAGTGAATGCTTGCCAGCGTGCCGCTCCCATTACTTTTTCTCCAATGGTCAAGCTCGGATTTTTGTTTCCATCATATTCTACAATGGAGTCCCCGGACCCAGCCCGGTTTTGGGGCTGCTGCTGCTTTCGCCGGTAGCACTTCCCGGTCGATTTGTCTTTCTGAATTCTGCGTCCGCTGCCACGAACGGGCGATCGAGTGACAGACTGATCCCCTGACTGACTGGACGAATGACGGGAGACAGTCTGGCAGACAGGCGGGCAAGCGGGGAGGCGCTCATTGAGCAGCACAGATAAATGACACCCGCGGGAAGATGATCAAGCAGAAGAGGCAGCATCAGAAGACTCGCCTCTTCTTCCGGAACCCAATTTATCGGAGCTAGCTCGGTGCGATCGGTAGTCGGGGTGCATTGGAACGCTCGTGGTGGAGCAAGTGTTCGGCGCAGATGGGAGAAGTGGCGCGGAAAACAGAAATTCCCAAGCTCGTGATATGTCCCTCGGTACCGCTGCCGATTTCTCAATCACAGAAAGGGAATACAGCGGACAAGTAGACCCGGGAATTTTCCCGAGCCTCTTGCTGGAGCGCACTATCGAGACTTCGGTCCCACCCAAACGAATCTCTCCTGCACTTCCTGTCTTCAGTTGATCATCCTGATCGGAGAAATCGGCAGAAATCGTTCGGAAGCAATACAAACCTCCCGGTGCCAAATCGAGCTGGGTATTGGATGTGGAGCCTCAGGACCTTTTCGGGAGTCTAAACTCTCGATAGGGGTGGAAAACCAAGCTCCCGAAACATTCGGATCCATGCTCTGCTCATCTCAGTCAACGAAGATGCCCGTTCTCCTATCGATCCGCTTTTCTCGTACGTCTCACATATCCGCCAATTTCGTCCCCCTTGCTCCCGAAGACGGTCCAGGGAGCGAGGAGGATTGCTATAAGAATGACGCAGCGGTACCATTCGCCGCAGGAGGGTAAATCAAACCACGTCGTTGTTGTTGATCACACCGACGTCCGGCCAACGTTGCCATTTTTCTCGTCGGAACACTGCCACTATGAATTATTCGTCGTTGAGCGTTTTCATCGGTGTGATCTGCCTTGTGAGTTGAACTTTTCCTGACTTTTCATACTCGCTTTTCACTCTCTTGCGAAATGATGCTTAAATTCGAATCGTGAGCTCTTGTACGATGTGAGCGTTTCGGTTACCGCGTGAATATCTGCGGTCGATTCGATTGAGCAGACTCTCACGAAGACGAGGGATATCTCTCCCCGTGATTATTCTCCAGGGTCTGCTCGATTACCTCCCAAATGTGTTTGTGCGGAATCTCGAACGTCGGGGAACTCATATCATGGAAATGATAGAAATAAGCGTCGAGCTTCCTGGCGTCTCTCTTTGTCGTGCGATCTTTCCCAACGAACTCCCCGACGGCTATCTGTTATTTGAACTTCAACGCGATATATTGACTCTTAACCTCAATATTATCGATGTGCCGGGCTCAACTCGAACCTCTCAGCCTTTTTCGAGGGAAGAGAAGACTATCCCTGTCCTGGCTACAGCCGAGGGGCTCGCCTGAGCTCCTGTGTCATATCACTGTCGGTATGCTCTCGAATGTGGCGGACATTCATTCTCCGAATGCCGGGAACGCTTCCAGTGCGTTTTACACATTCAATTTTCAGATCCAAGTCACAATTGGAAGCAGATGTTGCTTGCCTTGTACAAACTTTTGCGTTGATTCAATGGCGTTCACAGTTCACAGTGACTCAGGGCCATGATTACGTCAATGGTTCTTGCGCACAGGACGGTCTTCCCTGTATTGTATGCCACAGAATACGTCGGAACAGAAATATTAGAGCCGTGAGCATTCAACCGGAGGCGGGAGCAGGAGAGACATCTGTCCGACAGCGCGGCCTCCGTGGTGTGGCTCTGAAATCCTCGAGTCCATGGATACAATCTTGGATATTCTGCAATCCTCCCCGAGGAGTGCTCCTATTCATGGGATGGCATGATTTGTCTACGTCTCCGGCAAGCCCGAAAGCCTTGAGCGATCAATTATATCTTTCTCCGTCTCCGGGAGACCCCGGCTTGAAGAACCCTCCGCCGATTCTCCGGACTACTTCCTCCCCCTTGGGATAGAAAAGCCCACTATATAAACACTCGATTCGCACTTCACTTTGGGAGATATATGATGTCAGGACGTGATTTCCTCCGCTTCCTCGAGGCTAACCGTCTCAAGGTGTCACAGCAGCCATCGTCGTCTAGAGCTCGCTCAAGGTGTCAGTCGGGCAAGGATGACCTCGGCGTTCGAAAGAAGTCTCGTTTCCCCATCAGCTCAGCTGATACGGTTGTTTTGACACTTTTCTCAATTCATTTTCAGGCCATACTCACCTCCTCGAGCCCAGTAAATCGAGATGAGCTCTCGAGAGCCCTGCCAAAAAAAACCGTGCCAAAGAATAATTTCAAAACGGATCGAAATAGCGGTGAGTGACTGACTGATCCTCGGACCTCTCTTCTTCCGCAGAGATCGTCGGAACGATGCGTTCCATCTAGAGTCCCCATCATGGTTCCTTCTCATGGTTGAGAGATCCGCGTCGGACGACGAGGTTTCAAACCGAATGACTAGTATAACATAATAATCTACATTGCCGTCGTTTCAGTTGAGCTTCAGTGTGAACCAGAAGATTTTGTCGTGAAAGTCAATTTCACTCAACCATTCCGCGGCATTGTTCACGCCGGCCCGAAGAGCAATAAGTGTCTTCTTCGTGGAGACGGGGGTCAATATTATACTCTCCGCATTCCGCTCGATGGATGCGGAACAATCCACAATGTGAGTTCAAAAATTTTCCCCCAGATTGATGACCTCGGGTGCTCCATTGTCGTTCTCGGACATTCGCTCCGGAAAGGCTGTAATTCTCCAATTTCATGGATTGCGTTTCTCTGAGGGAGAATGAACGCTCCCATTCGAGCGAGGGGGTCTTTCGACGAATATCAAGTTTTGCCATGAGATTCTCCGATAATGTCCTTTCTGTTTTCGGAAAAAATCGTCGCCGTCGCCCTGCTTTCTTTTTCCGCGTCGTGATGCCCGCGTGAGCAGGATCCGCGTTTTTGAACACCCTGAGGGCCGGAGGCTAACGCTTCCCTATCGTTTTCAGGAGGGCCGTTTCAGCAATACTCTAACGATACGCTTCCATCCGTCCCTGGAACTCGAGGGGGACGAATTAAAAACGCTAGTTTGTCGATTCAAAACAGAAGCCGTCCTTGTCAGATAGTTACATTTCGCTCCCGAATCATAGACCTTGCACTATTTATGATATGACAATAAATTATTCTATGTATTTATCAAATGCAGGAGCATTGGGATCATTAATTATATCAAGCCAGATTTTCAGTGGGATCCGTGAGGTAGCGAATCAAAACGTCAGCCGGAGGTGATTGAGTCATTTCGGCACATTACAGAAAGATCCGCGCTCAGCATATTGGCTTTATCTCGCGCAGGAGGTTGCCGTCTCTAATACGGTCCATGCCTGTAGAAACCCTCAGGGAGCCGACGGAGATTTCGTCCTCTCTGGGCTCATGCAGGGAGAGATTCCTCAGGCTTGACAATGGCCGCTGGAAGTATGGTGCGGGGGCACTAAAGCACAGGCTGCGGGAAATGAATCACGAATCAATTGCTCGGGAGACCTTGAGTTTCACGTTAAGTCAATTCCCGCCGACGATGGCATAATTGATCCAGTCGGGTCAGAGTTTTCTGTCTTATGTTCTTAGTTTTCTATTTCGGCAACGGTTAGAATAATGCCCGGACTCTTTGCAGTAATCGCATCGAATAATTGTTGTATCATTTCTCTGTATTGATCTGTTGCGGGTCCCCTGCTGCCGGTATTCATGGGATTGAAATAGAATCCGGATCGACTGATCCGCTGACTTTCCTCAGGGGAAACGTGAGTTTGTTTTCGGGAGACTGGCAAAACAGAGTCAAGGGAGGGCGATCAAGGCCGTTTGAGCCAGAACTCGATCCGGGTCTATGACCGATCCACTTCTATTTCGATAAATCGAGTTTGTTGACTCTCTCAATCCGCAAGTCCCTGTAATAGACCGCTGGCTTACACTCACGTTCGAAATGATCTATCAGCGCATGACACGTTGCAAGAAAGCTCTCCGACAACTTCCCTCATCGTGAAAAAGCTCATTCCAACCAAACAGAGATGAAAGCCCTCTATCTTCGTGAGTTCTTCTCGAAAAGCTCCCGCTTCCTTTGGGCTCACCCCGTAACACTCGCATCAGAGTCACATTCTCCGAAGTACCCAGAGACATTTCACTCGTACGCGGCATTCAGGGAGGAGCTCCTTTGTCGCAGAGCAGCAGGAAAGTCATTCATATTGATTTTCTCCTCCTGATGAGCTTCCTTCCCCGAACGCTGTGGGCTGAGAGGAGTTCACACGTGGGACCGAGTCCGGGGTTCGAACCTTCCTGCTAGATCCAGCTTGTGGATTCCAGCTCCAATCGAATTTCGCATCCTTCCCGCCTCGATCTCAGAATTCAGGACTTGGATCGCCGTCGACGCGTCGCCGTCGTGATCTTTGTTCCAGACCGAGACGGCCGTCGAGCCAATACGGCGCGGCCGATTATCATCGAACCCCTCTCTGAGAATATGCGTTCAAATCCGCTTCATGGTGGACCACGCCGAGAATCGATAACTTCCCTCCGATGTTTCGCTCCCCATGGAACGGTCGTTACTACAAAGGGAATTCGGATATCACCACGGAATCATCAGATCTCTAGTGCGAGTGATTCGAAATCATCGTGTCAGCCTTTGCTTGGTCTCAGCTCGCTTCCCGCTAACAGATCAGAATCCTCTCGGCCTCGAAGGTTCCACTGTATTTTATTTTTAGAGCCCCCGCTCCATAGCGCCGCAAACGAAAAATGATATCGAAGGCTTCTGCAAGCGTCATAGAGAGCCGCTTTTCAATGCGTGACCGATACTGGTGGGGAAGTTTTTGCATCGGTCTACCCTTTATATACAAACCGTCTCTAGGAGAGTTCTTATGACACAGATATGTTCACGTGCCGACTTATTGTTGGACCAGATGGCGATTCCAAGCCTTTTCCAAGTCTGCTTTTGGAAGTTTTCCTCCAAGTGATTTCCCAGGACTTCGATGGTCGGATCCCGGCATCAAATTGGAAAGTCTGATACGAGGTTTTTTCGTTCTGGGAATCTCCAACTCATCTGTACAAATCGAATCAGAAGGAAATCAATCTGAATCAACACTCCTATATTGAACGATTGATTGCAGATCGAGGGAATGGTAGTCATTGAGGGCTCATTACGGGATCTGTTTTTACAATGAGCTCCTACCAGAAGCTGCCATAAAACTTTGTGATCCTGCCTCCTAAGGGCGAATCGTATTATATCCTTCATTTCCATACTCAGGGAATCTGCTACCGTCGTATACCAGAATAATTCTTCTCATCACGGCAGTCGGGAATCATATCTACTCGGAGAGATCACGTGACGCGGGGAAGGGCCAGAATCTAGATTTATCTTCTCTTTCCACAAAATTGAAGGAGTTCTCATTTGGAAAGATAATCGATAATCGGCCATTATGTCGATCTCTATCAAGAGACTTGTCTTTACCAGCAGATTTTCATCGGCTGACTCGACGTTGTCTCGAGCGTCAGCTTTCTGCTCGGTTGATTTTTACGATTGAACGAGAAAACTCTATCGAACATCTCGTACATCGCATACACAACGGAGATATATGAGAAGTCTTCAGATAGGGCTCAATGTCTCGCCCCGGAGCGTGGTCCGGACAACCTCATGGTTCGAGGCTTTCGAATGACCTCGGCCTGATCATCGGCGAACGTTCTTCCGTCCAGAACCTGAGGTAAGGTCCTCCATACACACGAGGATTCGACCTCAGGGCAAAGCGTCAGAAGCGAGGCATTATTGGATCTCGAAAAAATGTAGCGCTTCCCGTGCATTTCCAAGGTGTACATAGATGACGAGAGGACAACGCAGGGATCGCCCTACCGACGTGACGTGAATCTATTCCGATTTAAGTAAAGAGCATCGAATCGAGTCGCCAGACTAGAGCCCGTCAGAGCAATTAAAGAAATCCCCGGGGTTCCCGAGTCAGGGACTCAGGTGGTTTGTGGGCGTAGAACTACGTGAACACGGAACACGTAGTTCCGTGAGTTCGAAGATCTGCGAGCGATTTTCGATACTACCCTCCGGTCGACGAAGTGTATCATGAGATTTCCTCTGGCCGTTGTTCAAAAGACGCTTTTTTAGTTTGAGGAAAACGAGATCAAAGAACTCAACTGCGGGAACGGGATTCGGTCGGTAGCAACCTTCGAAGACTTCGGCAAATTTTCTAAACTCAGAAATGTTGACGAATGACATCAAAATCTACTTTTTACTCAACGGACAAACTTCAATCGGATATACGGCCCGATATCTGCACCGAGTGCGGCGTCGTTTTCCGCTTAGCAACCCGCAATTCGGACGGCAACCGGTACGTGACCGAGTGCCACACTTCCTCGTGGAGGATGTAAGGATTGGAGAACATCGCGACTATGCGTATGAAAGGTACATTAGATTCCATGACCATGTCCGCCTAGGAGAAACGCTGCTACATGATGTGCTCTCTCGATGAGATCTCATATTGCCGATCTCAAGGAACAATCATTGCATGTCCGATGGAGGATTTTTCGAGTATCGCGAGGCCGCGCATCCGCATCTAGACGATGATGGGGATGAATTAGTTGAAGACTAATAAAATTAGGTTCTCAATGGCATGTCGGAACCTTAGAATGATCATGATTCGGCATTGTAAGGGTGGATCCCCTTATCCTCCTTTTCGAGACCATCACTGGGCGGCGGCACTCAAAAAAGAGCTCTTCATTCTGGAATGATTTGTCCCAACGCGATAGACACACGTTCATTCATTAACAATGCTGCGACAGGACGACAGCACCGTTTAAAAAGTTTATCGTTGGGTGAACCACTCCCTCCCAATCGTCCGCTAAGCCGTACGGCCCGCCGTGGCTAGATTCTCTTAGCACCACGTTGCGTCCTGCCTCATAGGTGATTTCCTGAGGACCACTTCGGTTGAACTGAACTACGACTTCTCGCCCTTGTTTGTTACGGGAATCTGCTTCGTATCGCTTGTCTGAACACTGTTTGTTTTCTTATGTCGGGATTATGGCTGACGATGTATTAGGCGCAACTCGTTCTTTTTTCTTCACGGAGTCCGGCATCCTTAGCTTGCTAGTCAGAAGGTTCTCCGCCGGTGTTCTTCCACGACCATTGACATCGACCAATGAGGAAAGGAAACGCATGAATGTAGTAGCCAAGGCTAGAATGAACGACGAGAGTCCATTCTCATAAGAGAAGATATGAAATGAAGAACGCGCGCACATCGTTTTCCGCTGTCATTATACAACCTCAACCGGAGGTGTTAGTTGTCTTCAACATCGTCGCGGGGTGGAGGAAGAATTGAGGAAAGTTTCAACGATTAATTTAGCAAAAACTGAGGCGATCCTGAAGGAATAGATCCATCTCTAGCGGAGGAGAGATTCTCCGCCAAATATATATTTAAAATCAGAAAGAGGGAATTTCTGGGCCCATCAATCGACATAGCGTTTCCAGAACAGTTGATTAGGACTAATCACGGTATGCTAAGGGTTTCTTGCCCTCAGTTTTTCAGCCGCCGAGTCCTCGTTCCGACGTTCTGCGAGAACGAGCCTACTTCTTGGCCTGTATTTTATGAAATAATAAAGATAAGGGGGAAATTGTGTAGCATGAACGGTGCCTCATTCTCAGCCGGACATATACAGCCATCACCATTTTCATTGTCAAACGCTCTGTTTCAGAGAAATAAGCTCGACAAGTTTGTTACACAGGTGACTCGCATAGAAAAAGTGCGTAAGCCTCTAGCAGACGACCCCAGCACATACGCATGCTATCTCCGAGATTCGAATTTTTTCGAGCTTTGGCCCCCCAATATTCCCCATTGAAGTTGGTGCCCGTTACCGGGGGCTATAGCGTAGTTCTACGCTAAAATATATAATGAAGTTATATGAAAATTCCATTGGAAGACCTGGGCTGGAGTTTAGTGTGGTCGCTTCCACGCGGCCACTGAAGCTGACTCGACTGGTAGATTTGGCGAGAGGCGTGAAGCGTGAACGATCTGTTTTCGATGCCATCCGTAGATTGAACGAACGAGGGACTGAAGCGCTCGCTGATTCAGTGTCGAGCCGCATGCAAGACGCTGAGACCTGGATTCCCGATTGGCTTCTCTGGATGCGCGGAGTCGAACTCGGAGTTTATATTTTCACTTCTGCA